TATATATATATATATTTCTGGTTGAAAGGGTGTCTTTTTGACTTCATGTGTTTTTGATTTAGTTATCGCTGTTTATATTAGGAAGAGATTTGTCATCTGTTAAATAGCAAAAGCCTTTTATGGCTTCTCATTTTTTTAAAAAACAGATTCTTCAGCTTGCCACCACCCACAAATTCAAAACTATCTTTACAGAATTTATGCTCCTTCATTTCGTAGCTACTTTGGGACATATTTCGTAAATCGTTCATTGGTTCCAGAAGAAAATTTATAGATGGGTTCACGGTTTGAATTCAGGTTGGGTTCAGGGGGCTTTAGTAAGTTCAGTGCATTTTCATTACTTTTAGATGTATTCAATTGTCAGCATTTAAAAGTGCATACTCGTTGTGAGTTACAACTTTCAGTTTTTCTGACGTACATGCGTGGCAGAGCTGATGTTCAGTGGAGGGTGGAGGGGTGGAGGAAGGCTAGTGTGCATGTGTTTTTACGTTTCGTTCCTTCTAATTTTGCATGCTTTAAATGCATTTCATAGAGTTTTTTCGTATTCAGGTGGCCAGAGTGCCACAATTTTTCTTTATTTCTGAGTGCTTTAAAAATAAATATCAGTGAGTTAAGGGAACTTTCAAGTTGCCGGATCTGATGGACCTCCCAAACTGCCATCGGAGCCTCTAGGCCTCCGGTGGACTAATATTGGTAGTCGGTTCGTTACTCTTACCTGGGACCAACCATTACATCCTCACGGCTCGCTGATTGTTTATCATGTATATTACAAAGAAATTGGATCGCAAAGGTATCCTTGTTTTTTTTGGTCTTGCTTTCATAGTAACAGGTTAATTAGAGAAGTTCAAAATATTTCATTTTGCCCTAGCCCTTCCGGAAATTAATTTCTTATACCTTACTTTTGACGAATAAGATTGTAAACTTTCAGGGAGAGGAATGTCAATTCATCAACAACATCGTGCACTGTTTTATCGCTGCAGCCGAATACACAGTACTTGTTTCGTGTAGTTGCGGTTAATGAAGCAGGGCTTGGAAAATCATCTTCCTTTCTTTCGATCAGTACGCCGAAAGAACAGGTAACAATGATTGCTTTATTTACAATGCTAAGATGGAGTTTCTCAGTTTCGTATTTAGTTATCTCTCGCTTCTTTTCTGCAAAAATTGCGCATGAAACTTCATTTACAGTTTTAAGTTTTTTATTGGATCAGACTTTGAAAGATATAATCAACGCTTTTTTGAAACGTTAATGTTTAGGTTGTTCCTGGTAAAATAAGGAATTTGCGAGCTAAGGCTTTGGGATCTGAAACTATTGAAGTCACTTGGAATGCTCCAGTTTCTGATCTCCCAGGGACGGAAGTGCACAATTACATACTTTTCTACATACAGACAAATAGTGGGAATTCTGAACGGGAGACTCAGATAACGGTTATTGATTGCGTTTTATTTCAAATGATTCTTGTTAAGTAGGTTCAAAAACGATTTCTCTATTTAGAGGTTGCTAAAACAACTGTATTTTCTGCTTTTTCTTTTGCACTTTACTGGGTTTGTGTGGGATTTCTTCTCCTTAATTTGCTGTTTTTCCAAATAATTCAAAAAGGACAAAGTTTTTGAGTTCAATATGTAGCTGAAGAGTATTTTCCGGGATTGGATTATTTTAAGATCTATTAGGAGTTAAAGAAAGGTTTTTTTAGTAGTTGGATTTCTTTTAAAATGCTTCATTGGTCGGTATGCTTTAAGGGGTGGAATGTTTTTATTTTTTCTTTATTACAGACTGATAAGACCTTTTATGTCTTACGTGGGATGGCGAAGTATTCCGAGTATAGGATACGCGTTGAGGCAGTTGGACCGAATGGGCCTGGTCTAAGTTCTGATAGTGTCACAGTGCGAACATTTTCTGATATACCGTCTGGAAGTCCTACCAATGTCAGGTTGCTCTTAAATGTTTTTCTCTATTCTAGCCGTCACGTCTTGTAGGTGTTCACTTCCCTCCTGAAATTTTTTTAATTTTTGGTAAAATAAAGTTTTGATGTTCTTTGCAGCATAGAATGTATTTGTTAGTTATTTAGGGCTTATGCGTTGTCCAGGAGCTCTGTCCAGGTAATGTGGGGTCCAGTAAAGCTTGAAGACCAAAATGGCGAAATAACAGGGTACCGATTAAAATATAAATCGAAACATCGTAATAGCAAACCGGCTCCAATAACTGTCGACAAGGGGAAGTTAACCTATGTGATTGATGGACTGGAACCTGGAGTTGAATATACAATACGGTTGGCAGCTATAAATGTGGTTGGTCTCTTTATAACATAAACTTTTCCTCTTCATTTTTTCAATGCTTTATTCACCTTGTACTGCTCGGATTTGAAGAATCAGTTTTTTCTGTTAGTGATTTTTGATATTTACTTTTTTGTTAAGGATATCTTGTTTCACTTCTAAAACATCAGTGGGAGTGTAGTCGGTTTTGGTATCACTTTACCCCTTAGACCCCTCCATCAATGTTTCTGCTTTTTTGCCTTGTATTGCTTTGATTTGTATATATATTTTATGCTAATTTTATTTTAAGAATGGCACGGGGCCGATTTCTCAGGGTTACAAAGTTTCGACATTATTAGAAGATAAGGATGAAAGTCATGTACCGCCTCCTCCTCAGAAACTTATTTTGCATTCTTCCTCGAAATCTATCTTGGCTATGTGGGATCCGCCGGCTGACTCACGGGTTATGGTTCGAAATTATCAGGTTTACAAGTTTGATTTCATTTTCCAGTTCTTCTGAGTTTTCTTTTGTTCTATTCACTGTGGGTTTTTTCGTTTATTTATTTTTCAAGAACTTATATGCATACTTTTGACGCAACTAGCTTTTACAGTCTTGGAGGAAAATTCTTTTAGTTTTGGGTAAAAATTTTTTGAGATTGGTCGGGATGTATTTTGTTCATTCATTTTAGTCTGAAAATTATAATTTTCAAAAAGGGACTGTTTTTCAGCTTGGTTGGGGTCCTTTAGTTCCTGATGTCCACCAAATAGACCTGGGCATCGACGCGCGCAACTACACCATCAAAGATCTGGATACTAGCAGAGAATATGTTGTTTCTCTTCGAGCAGTTAATAATCAAGGTCCAGGGTTGCCTATTTACGAAACTGCAGTCACATCATCCGGGAGTCTGGTAGATACGTTTGCGGATTCAATCCCAAGTGCTTCTCTAAAGACTCCTGTGGAAGTCCGAGCAGAAACTCTTTCGTCTTCTGGCATTTTAGTTTCTTGGACAGATTTGGACAATCCATCGCCAGAAACTCGAGTTTACTCTGTGAAATGTACTTCGAAGTTAGTTAGACTACATCTTTTTAATTGGCTATTTTAAAGTTCTTTCTAATAAAAAAGTCTTTTTCAGTTCCGAAAGAGGTGCTGAACCGCGGCAGAATAAAGTGATGGCGACTCGAGTAATCATGGAAGGACTTTATCCAAATACCCAGTACGAGTGTATGGTTCGCGTTCATAGTGGCGAGTGAGCATTACTTCGTGTTCTTTCTTGTTTTTCAAACTCGCAAATCAGAACTAATCTTCATGTAAAATGAAAAGTTTTTTCTTCAGCAGGAGTAGCGGGCTGCTTCTCCGATATGAATTTTCATTTCCACAAATTAGTTTTCTATTAAAATTGATGGGGTAAAAGTGTGAAAATTAAACGATAAAGTACTTCTTGAAGAGAAATCTCCCAATAACATTATCCCTACCAAGATTTTACTGTTTCATATGAAGAACGCTTTGGATTTATATGGTGTATCATTTTCCGGCGGCATACACTTATCTGCAATAGGTGTATTTAGGCCTGTTTAAAACAAATCTTCCCAAAATCGTAGATTTTTTTTTGTTTATGTGGATTTTGATGGCGCTTGAAGTTCATTTTATCCATTTTATTACCCCTTGACTCATAAGTTGCAGTTCTGTTTCATCCTGGTCTATGGCAGCAATCAACAAAACTTTCCCGACCCCTCCCTCAAGTGCCCCCTGTGACTTAACTATTAGTCCTTCGGATAGTGATCCTCATACGGTAACACTAAGTTGGCAACCGCCGAAATATGCTAATGGGGACATAAATGGTACTCAGTAGTCGTTTTCTTTCACGTTTATTTAACGTAGCATCTTACAACTTTTGAATTCGCATTTTAAGAGTCGTAGCAATTCACATTTGGACTATTTAGAATATCTGCTTTATTACACGCATGAGCCCGATCGACCAAATGAAGAATGGTACCAAACTACGGTGGAAGGAAACCAGATGACGTACACTATTACGGATTTATTGCCGCGTACAACTTACTACTTTAAGGTGCAGGCAAGGAACGTGAAAGGTCTTGGCCCACAGTCTAAAGTTAAACGGTTCGATCCGGGAGCTCCAGCTCCAAGACAGTTCCAGGTAAAAAGAGCTTAAAGGAAGCTTCCTTTGTAAAAAATAAATGTAACTTCTTTAATCACCTCAGAATTAAAAAGGGCTTTGACCAGTTTGAAACAGATGAAAGGCAATAATAAATTTTGTAATGATCAGTGGGTAGATGAATTTAGTAATTTTCGTTAAAACTTAGGAAAAGTTATAAGAGACATGACGAATTAAAAGGTGTGTTCCTCAGAGGTTTTGGAATTCTCACTAATTCTCGGTTCATCTCACCAGTTGCCTGCAAGCAGTTGTGTGTGGTGATGGAAAAAGGTTTTGTCGAAGAGCGGGGTTAAAAAAAATTTTTTCGAGAATTTATAATGGATGAAGTGTCCTTTGACGGAATTTTTTATGTTTCTAAAAGTCTTGCCGTACTTGGGTGCCAGTAATTCGATCTACAGGTGCCTCCAGCTATCGAGACATTGCCATCGACAAAGTTCTTCTCAGACACAGCTCTCGTCATTTTCGGCATAGTTGCAGTAGGGTGCGTAGTGATATTGGTAGCTGTTGTCATATGGCGTGCAAAAACCAGAGACTCGCGAAAAGCAAATTCTAGTGGCTACGTAGTTGGAAAGAAATCGTTAAGTGATGCGAAGTCTCCCCCTGATTTTTGGATTGATCAGAATCGCAGTCATCATGTTAAAGGTAATTTACGTTGACCGCTGCTGTTTATAACAGTGTTTTAATTGCTTTATTTGATTACCCTAAAAAGTAGTTTTTAGGCCTCATGGGCATTACTTAATTTAGACTTCTCTGGCGATAGTCCTTCTGCGTCATCCGCTGATTTGAAGCGGGTTGGGAATGGTGGTGACAGTGCTCCTCCTCGTTATCAAAGTCTGCAAGGTTTGATCTCATGCTTAAGCTTAATTCGACTAATATTTTTAGCAAAGAAATGTGGACAACGTACATCTTACGCGTCCACCTTTGCTGCTGCGTGATTTTTTGTATACTTTTGAGCATTGCATCTCTATTTGAAGAAAGTTTAGCTTAATATTAATTGTAGCAGTAATAATTGAAACAGTATTAAAACAGTTACTTCATATGATTGGAATTTCTACAGATCGGTACAGAGATCCGGAAGCGTAATGAAAATATATGTTTGTTAATTTTTGTAGTGGGGGCAGATCCTAAAACAAAGTCTCTTTCTGGAAAGGATGGCTGATGTACTAGTATGCATGTCTGTTTCCTTTTTATAGTTATAACGGGGAAAAATTCCTGTGTTTCACTTTAGGTCAGTTTAGATCAAGTTTCCTGTTTGATTACACTAAACCTTCAGAATCTCCATTCTGTTTCTTTCTAATACGTTGTCAAAGATGTGTTTAAATTCTTGAATTGCTACTAGTATTCTGTCTTTCTGTATAATTCGTCCTTGACTTTCGTCCTATTATTTATTTATCTCCTTTCAACTGCTACTTGTTTACCAGTAACCGAAGCACTTATGTTTCTCTTACACCCTCCTTTCTTTTTTCTTTTTTTTTTTTGTATGTGCTCACCTACAGTTTATATCGCCTTTCGTGTGTTTGTTTTTTCGTGGTGTTGTGATAGTCCTTTAGTTTAGCTAATGGCTACAACTCCAGTCGTCATATATCCTCTGCACTTGGAGCATATGGTAGCTTATCTACTGCAGCGATAAGAAGCTTGCCAGAGCCTTCTGAACGTAGATTGATTGGTGTTGCAGAAGCAATCCCAGCCTGCCCTCCTAAATACAGTGGAGATTGCGAGAGTAAGCAATGTATTCGTATCACTTGTGCTAATTATAATATTTTACCTTCTTCCATGCTATTCATAAAAAAATCAAGTTTCTTGCATCCTCCTGTCAGCTTTGTTATCTGGTCAGGACACGCTTTTAGCACATCCTTATGTTAAAAGTATACCTTATAGTCGTAAATTAAATCTGCATGAATTATCAAATATATCTGTCCTATGGTACTCGACACTGAGAATTGGGAATTTCATATTGGTCAATCTTCGGTGCACGTAAACAAGATTTTAATTTTTCTCTCAGTGTTTTTGTAGGGAACGTTCAATTTTTTATTTTTTTTTAAATTAACTTAGGTGGATTAGGTGAATTGAATATCATATGTATAGTTAAAGCGTTAGCTTGTGACTCTGCAGTTTCAATAGGCTGGAAACGCGAACGAAAGATGCAGTTTTTTTTTCTTCTTTTTGTATACTGGTGACTGGAAAATTCCAGGCAATGGTACTTTGACGAGAAGCTATCACCAGTCTTCTTCAAGCTTAGAGAGTCGTCAGAGGACACCACAAGTCATCTATAGTGGATCAAATAGATATTTGGTTTGTTTTGTCGAAATACTTAAACCTTCTCAATTTGTCGCTTTAATAGGAGGTTCGTTGCAGCCATCAACGAAAGTGGAATATTCTGATCATGGATCTTCGTATGGTTCTTCGCAAGCTCTACATGCTCAAACTCCTCCTCCTCAGTTACCAAATCAGGGTCCGCCTCCAGGACCGCCGTCACAAATGTCAGATGGTTATCGTACTCTGCGCAATAATAGCTCTAACCCCTTGAAATCATTTACGCAACTTGCTGGTGCGCCGCCTCCTCTTTCGCCTTCACAGGGTGAGCATCTTTACCTTTATTTGTACATCCACTTCTCAGTGATATGTTAACAAGGAGCTTTGAATTGAAGTAAAAAATATGGTTAGGGAAGCCTGGCAAAATATATGTTTTCGCTGAAAGTTCTCGTTGTTCATCTGTTACCCATGATGTTCTTCGTTATATGTCGCCCAGATGGTACATACAAAAAGTTTTCTTTGAATTTATGCCGCGCAGCTGATTGCTGTTTTTTAATTTGTTTACCTCATCATTTTGGGTTAGACAGATAAGGTTTCGCTTGCTGATTCTTTCAGTGATTCCAGATCAACATTTTTTTGATTATTTAGCGGAAAAGTCGCTAGTTCTTAAACCTTTCTTTTACTTTGCTTGTTGTGTTGCGCTAAGTAGATTCTTTCTTTTTGGTGTGTGGAATTTTTTTTCGACACCTTCGTTCACTGTTTGATTTAGAAATGCTTTTTAAATGATTTTTGCTGCAATGTTGATATAGCATTTTAACATGGTTTTGATACATTGGCATTTGTGTTTTATTTGTAGGCGAAGGGGCCACGCAAATTGTAAGGCCAGTAGTGATAGCTTCGCCACATTCAAGGATCAATAAGCCAGCAGGTATAGTTATTGGTCATAAGAGTTCTCAAGTTCCAGTTGGTCGGGCAACAGCTCAGCCTCGTGTTAATGTGAATAACCTTTATGCTCCTTTCGTGCCTTCTGGGTTTTCGGAAAAAACCGCTTTGAAAGCAGGGGCTGATAATCGTCTCGAAACGCAGCCACTTCAGGTTTCAGTGAACTTTTTCCTTTTTTAGGACTACATTCTGTATTGCTTTTCTTCTTATTGTTTTTTGAGAGCTCATTTTTAACGTTGTAACTTTTGGAGAGTGAGGGTTTCGAATTAATGAGTATTTTTCGTTGGCAATTGTTCGTTAGTACGAAGTCCCTAATTTCCACTGATACGGTTATAGGGAGGTTTTTGAGCAGCTTATGAATCTCTTATGTTTAAGGATGCTTCTATAAATTCTGCCCTTAAATTTCTATCTGTGGTAATTCCTAGTTTTGCCATTTTAGAGGGTTTTGGCCACTAGGGGCACTGCACGGTAGAGTTTTTTACTGTCACTCCTAAAAATGAAACAGGTTTTTTTGATGGTTTTTTTAAGCACAGCACATTTGGACCTGCAGGTGGCAGTTCTGCTAATTCATAAATGAGTAGGAAGTGGATGAAGAGCAGCTGTAAAGTTTTTTGTCTGTGATGTGCGGGCTTACTGCTAGAGTAATATTTTTTCAGTCTCGTAGACAGACGCCTTGAGGTCAGGGGGTTGAATTGAGATCCCAACCAGTTTTTATTATGTAATTTTCTGGATTTAAGAGTGAAAAACTTTTATTGGGTTTTTCAAACTAATTTATGGTTATTAATTTAAAATTAAATCGAGGTAAGTTAGAATCATATTTTATTGAATGGTTGTTTCTGATTCTTTGTTTCAGCAGTCTAATTCTACAGAGGAACTGAATGCCCAGATGGAAAACTTGGACACCATGATAGATGACTTACAAGCCATGCAGCATGAGTTCAATGCTTCATCTTAATTTTGTGCAGTTAACTGGGGAAGTCCGCATTGTGTTGTACCCACTGCAGTCATTAAAAACACGCACATCTGTTTTCTTATGAGAAGTGCCTTTTTATGCAGTTGCTTCCTTACGGGTTTTTTCGTTAATTTCAGTCAAACAAAGTGGGAGTGTTTTTCACGATCAGTCTTCATCATTTGCTTTTTTTTTCGGTATACTCTATGCACTTTTTCGTTATTATTGTTGTTGTTGTTCTTGTGATCTCCATACTTCAACTTGTACTCCCACGAACTTTTTGATTTCTTATTATGGGTAGGTTTTTTGGTGCTGTTGGACTGAGAGGAGAAGATTTGCTCATGTTGGCTAGTCTTTCGGGTAGATGAATTAGTTTTAAGTCTCTGGACGTCTTCGAAGTCATGTTACAGCAATTTTTTTAACTTTTCCAGATTTTTAAAAACAGAGTGATCGACAGTGTAGCTTCCTATCCTCTTCCATCTAGTTCCCACACGTTTGATTTCTCACTTAGTTTATTAGATGATGTACAGAAAATGTGTTTTCAGGTAAGCTCTTAATAATTAGGTAATCTTGTGGACGATTTGTTCTTGTATTTATACTGTACAGAACTTTTGTTGAAATATCTCCGCTCCCTGTCTCTTTTTTTATCTACTTTGTTCCGACGATTGTACTTTCTGTTATGATCTCTTTTGGCCTTCGACACATTTCTAAACGTGTTCTTTTTAAGCAGACGTCCGTTACCACAAAAAGCAGCATAATATTTTTTTGTCTATTCAATATTTTGTCCATTATGATACTGTTTCGCTGCTGCAGCAGTGGCAGATGCTCAGAAGCGGAAGTAGGTTGTTTCTTCTAACCGTAATTTAGCGGCAAAGGAGCTTCATCAGTTCACTTTTGTGTAAGTATTATGATGACTGAGGGTCAGTATGTTCCCACAAAGCTAGTCTTTGGAGCTGCTTACCGATCAGCCATGTGTTTGAGAAAGACGGATTGTTCATTTTGATCGTCTTGGTAAGTGACTGTCATAGTGCACATCAGTGCGCGGGAATTTTTTCTAGCTCCTTCCACTGTTGTAAATATATATAGTAAAAGGACTTAACGTGTGCACTGCTATGAAATATGTTGTTTTTAGTAAGTTGTATTCTAATCTGAAATGCGCTTATTTTGCTGTCTGTTCTCCAATTAATAAGATTTCACTTATCTTTATAATTAAGGGGTGGTGAAGCGGTAGTATTGCACAACGCCGCACGATGATTGGAGACTGTAGTTGCCCCTGATTTGGCAACTGTGCGGCGTCTACTTATTTTTATTGGGAAGATGAGCTGTTTCACCACTCTTGAAAATTACTTGTCGTTGTCCACTTAGTTTTTGAACCGAACACTCATCTTTTCTCTTAGGTTCAGTATATTTGATTTCCAGATCCGTACTGCGTCTTACGCAGTGATTGACATTGTTTGTTTATTTGATAGTCAAAAATCTGAACTGTACTTTAATTTCGTGAAGCCACCCTGCCATTGGTCGTTTGGGACCGGCTCTTTTCCCATGATCACAATATTTTTTTCACTTGTCGTCAGCGTTTGTAAATATTGCAGTATCTAATATCAAATTTTGCTGTACTTGAGTAGGATTGACGTGGAAGTTTCGTGATAGGATCTCTCCGGAGGGTTTTAGAAGTTTTTTAGCTAGAAGAGTTCTTTGCGTCTGACGTGCAAGCCGTAGGTTTTGACGGGAAGATCGTTTGTTTTTTTTTGGTAAGAGTTCTTTTACGAAACCTTCACGTTAATGCTACTTCTTAACATGCGTCTCCTCAGCTGTAATTTATATCATGGGCTTTATTTTAATGAAAGATCTATAAGATCAGGCTGATCAATATCCCCAAATACGATTTAGGTGATGGCAGTAGCCATAGATGCAGTCTGTTGTTTACATGAATAAAATTATGTCAAAATATTTACTCAAAACTATTATCGCATGAGATACTGATAGCTCGTGAAACAAAGATCGATTGACACCCAGAAATCATCTTGTTCTTTCTGTGGCTCTAAGTTGTCAGAATTATGAGGAGCGTTGTAGTTAAGCTTCTAATTCCTGAAACGCTTTTTACGATTCACCTGTCTTCATTTCTTGTGTAGGTTTCTCAACTCAGAATGATTTATCTGCGGTCATTTCGTGCACGTCTATTCATCATCTCCTTATTGTTTTAGCGCTGAAGCGCCGTTCTGACTCTTATTGCTTATCACAGAACTGTCCAGCCGCCTGTGATTGTAACGAGCAGTGGGGTTGCCTTTAGTATCGCTAGTTTGGAGGGTTCCAGCTCATCCCACAGTCATGGCTCGCTTTCAGTTTGCACGTTCGCAGACAATTTTCTGGTGTGCTCAGAAATACAGAATCACCAGGTTTTAACTGTGCACTCAGGAATTATGCGTCTAAAGCGAACATATTGTTGGGGAAGGCTCCTAGAAGCTGGGTTTATTTGAAAATTTTTTATAGACAGTTTCTACTGGAGTGCGGATTATGAAAACAGATTATAAGCACTGCTATGGCACTGCTGTATATTTGCAAGAGGGCAGAAACTAGTTGCGCAACGTCCCATAATCAAGTGCTGTCGCTACTAATCACATCAGGTGCCGCTGGAATAGTGATGTGAAGCGCCATAAGAGTCAAGACGAGATTAGATTAGCAGTGGCAAAAGGTGACATAGACCAGTCTGAACGGATCAAGACCAAACTGAAAGCGAACTGTTTAGAAGTTAAACAGATGTTCCAGATACTTCTTCCGTTTGGAAGTTTCGTGCCGCACAGATAAGGGCTTAGTCCTACCTGCCAGCTGGTCCACTTCTGGTGCTAAAAACTTCGTGATGGACTTCAGATGGTGTCTCTGTAGCACTGACTTTTGCAAGAGACCAAATTATTTTAATGACGCTTCCACCTCTGTTCCCACAGTCATATTCAGGTGGTCTGATAAACGTGCAGTAAAAAATTTATTCGAGCGCGAACAAGTTCAATAAAATATTCGAGTTGGCCCAAAATTGCACCCCAACTTACGCCTTATATTGCTGTAGTCAGCATGGTGCCGTACTGACCGAAAAAACTACCAAAAAATTTTCCAATTTTTTGGTAACATGGGTTTTGCAGACCATGACACAAAAGTAGTCATGGGAGGCTGTCGTCCATCTTCAACCCAGTGGGGTCGACAAGTCGATTTATTTGCCGCATCACTCACCTATGTCCTCCTCTTGCATGCGAAGAGTTGGCCTGCACCTGTGCAAACCAGATATTTGAACGTGATGAGTACAGTTATACTGCTGTTGTTCTTTTAACTGGTACGTGTAAAAGCTAAAATTACCAGCAAAAAATGACCACAGTTATAGCGTTAAATACAAATAATGAAAACACTGGTAGAGAGCAATAAAATCGTGCTCCACCGGATGTAAAAATGCGTATAATTAGTCATCTTCCGCAGTACTTGAAGCTGTGCTTCATCACGGTACCAGCAGCACCCATCTTAGTGCTAGTTTCCAAATAAATTAACTTGTCTAGATAATGGCTCTATACTCCTAAATTAAATAATAACACAATCATGAGTAAAAATAACATGACAGTACAACACGATGTGCACAAAAAGCAACGCCAAGAAATCTGGACAGTAGGAAAGAATCAATCAGCTTCTTTAAAAAAGTCAGACGACACAAACAGCTATGCAACAAAGTAGTACTTGAAACAATAATCCATAGAAAATTATTCTCCTCAACCACTGCAAGAGGAATAACACTACTTAAAGGAAACTTAACCTTTTACCACTACTCAGTGAAATGGCTCAAGGAATCTTCCTCAAGCTAAATTTAATTGAGAAACAAGCGACGTTCAAAAAGATCTGGTGAGAAAGAACTCTTATGAAGAAAGTCATAAAATTCCAATATTCTCATAACTGCTGCGAACGTTTCAGTTTCGCTTCGACCTCGCAACGTTCTCTTTAGGCTTCTCTGCTTCGATTATCGCTTTCTGATGGTCACAGTTTTCATCAGAACGCTCTGTTAAAACAGATAGTCGTTCGTGATCATCTGCTTTTTCCTTGTCTCCTACTACCACATCTGAATCGCAGAATATGATGCAAATAATGGAAATATTAATCTCTATCTGATCCCGAAAATAACGACTCGGTTCTTTTATAACTGTAAAAAAGCTTCTAATTTATAAGTAAATTGCATTCTCAGCATTTAGGATATCCACTGCAGATTTCGACTCCAAAAAATACTCAGCCAAAAAAACTTTACAAAGTGTCATTTGCCGGTTCCTAAAAGATTATATGTCATGGGATGTAAGAAAAAAACTAAAGATGACCTAACATATTCAACGCGTTTTCTGACGCACCATCAACTACCTGCGGCACGAAAGGTATCATACACGGAGCGAGTCCCGATAGAAGGAACAAACATCCGCCAAAGTAAAACGTAGCGTTGTAAGACCCAGTACAATCATAGATGAGACCTAAGAATAAAAATTACGGACTGGAACGGCGTATATACATGGGCCATTCCATGCCAAATTGCACACTTTTTTCATTTTTTGCTGAGTATTGGGGTCTAGGACAGTATAGAGGAAGCCGGAAAAAAAAAACATGGAAAGGTAAATTCTCCCCTTAAATTTGCAAAATTTGCCAAGTCGCCACTTGATATACCTATGTTCGGAGACTGGGGCCTGTTTTTAACGGGATTTAATGGTTTTTAATTTGCCGTATCTCTCATTCAACTTTTAAAAGCATTTTGAATAGTTCAAAAATGAACAAAGAAACAATGAAAATTTTTTCAAAAATTCCAAACAAAAATAAAACAAAAAACGTGCCCTTAAATTATTTAAAGAACATATATTTTGTGTAGAATTTTTTTCTCTACAACATGTCAAAATTTGGAAATGGCGATTTTTGATATCGAGAGTTACGAGTTGAGAAGGAATGTGAAACAAAAAAACCCACTATTTTTACATAATTCTATGAATTTTACAGCGGCGAAACCATCCGGATCCGCTTCTGAAGGCCGCAATGGGCAGCCACAAATATCCCTCATGCTTTAAACGTTGGAAATTTGCTACAAAAATTGTACTTCAATAATATTAACAGTTATTCTTCAGAGTTGTTAGAGGTAGCCCTACAGTGTTTTCTACTTCTCGTGTTTTATTCTAGCCAAACCATGTAGCTAGTATACATTTTGGTGTCGCAAAGACTGAGAAGCCACTGCTTTACCTGGGTAGCTGTTGGATCAAGGATTTTCTTTAAACTTTCTGTGTTTCTGGAGAACTGAAGCACATAATTTCAAAGAACAAGATGAGCCTAACAAAAATTCAACGAGCACAAGACAGAGACAATTCTAAGAGCTCAGAAACCACGAAATACAAGAAGCAGAAAGCGCTGGAGTGAAATCTACCTCTTATGTCTCTGCAGAATAATAATTTTTTAATATTATTAAAGCAAAGCACAACTTTGGTAGCAAATTTGCAACGTTTTGAGCATACTGAAGATTTGTAGCTGCCAACCACGGCCTTCAGAAGCGGCTCCGGGAGAACTCGCCTCCGTAAAATACATGGGCTTACTGTGAAAATAGTAGATTTTTTTCAGTTTCACGTTCCTTTCTAGCTCATAACTCTCGATATCAAAAAATCACCATCTCCAAATTCTGAAATTTTGTAGAGTAAGAAATTCTACACAAAACATCTTTTTTAAAAAAAATTTAAAGACACGTTTTTATTCCCTATGTTTGTTTGAAACTTTATTTTTGTTGTATCTTCGTGTATTTTTAAACTATTCAGCATGCTTTTAAAAGTTCAGGACATGAGGAATACGCCTGGTCAGATTACGAATACGGTAACCTAGATTACGATTTTGTCAAATTCTGTTAAAGACGGGCCAAATTACAAGTTTCCAAAGATAGGCATGTCAAATGGCGACTTGAAAAATTTTGCAATTTTGGGGGGAGGGTGTAAATTGGCGAGAAATTCACTTTTCCATGCCTTTTTTCCGGCTTTCTTTATAGTATCTTTGACTCTACTATTCAGCAGAAAATGAAAGAAGTTTGAGGAGTTGAAGTTCGAAAGTGCGCGATTTGGCGTGGAACGGCCCCTATATATCAGATATATAGGGGCCATATATATTTATTTTGCATTTTATGCCAATTCCCTCACTCTTTTCATTTGATGTCTCGAAATTCTTTTGCTAATTAGCGCGGTGAGAGCACAAAGTTGGATAATCGAAAACAGAACCCAGAGAAATCAATTCCTCGTCACGCTACGCCCCTTCAAAGATGCAAAATTTGTCAGGTACCTGCCGTGTATGCCTATACTTCTGAACTTTTGGTTCAACCCGGTCCTAAGAGAGTGCTAAACTGTTTGGGTTTCAAATTCTCCATGTCCACCACTTTTGAATACATATCACATTATTTAATTTGTTACAGAAATGGATACATAGAGCAAAAGAAAAGAGATTACAAAAAAAATATTTTTTTCGAAAAAAATTTCGGACTTTTTGTAAAAAAATGCAAAATTTTTTGCTTTGTAACAGACCGCAAGTTGATGATGCGCTGCTGACGGAATCAAGAGTTATATCTTAAAAGTGCAAGTCGGAAGGACAACAACCCACCTTTTTTTTATTCGTTACAAAGTCGTCTCAGAGAATTATATTTTATGTAAAATTGTTCAGGATTTGTTACTTTGTA